TGTCTTTGCCTTTATCAAAGATCAGTTGACTACATTTGTTTAGATCTATTTTGAGGTCTTTTCCTTTTCATATAAACTTTAGAATAAGTTTGTTGATACTATAGTATAAGTTCCTGGGATTTTTATTGGGATTCCATTGACTCTCTAGATCAAGTTAGGAAAAGTTGACATCTTAACAATATTGAGTCTTCCTATTCATAAACATAAAATATCTCAGTTTATTTAGATCTTTGATTTCTTTCATCAGAGTATTGTTTCCCTCATATAGAATTTATACATATTTTGTTATATTTCTATCAAATTATTGCTCTTTTGGCACCAGTATAAGTGGTATTGTGTTTAGAATTTCAAATACCACTTGTTCATTGCTGGTATATAGAAAAGCAATTGACTTTTGTATGTTAACCTTGTATCCTGCAACCTTGGTATAATTGCTTATTAGTTACAGATTTTGTTGTTGTTGATTCTTTGGAATTTTCTACAATGATACAGTGTCATCACTGATGTTTTTGTTCACTGAACACAGTTTTATTCTCCCTTCCCAATCTTCATACCTTTTATTTCCTTCTCTTGTCTTACTGTATTAGCTAAGACTTCCAGTACAATGTTAACAGTAAGGTTTTTTTGTGGTTATTCTTTATCAAGTTAAGTTCTCTATTTCGAGTTTGCTAAGTTTTTATCATTAATAGATGTTTGGTTTTGTCATATGCTTTTTCTGCATCAGTTGATATGGTCATAATGCTCTTCTTTAGTGTTGTTGGATGTGGTGGGTTACGTTAATTGATTTTTGAATGTTAAATCAGTATGCCTACCTGGAATAAATCCCATTTGGTCATGGTGTATAATTCGTTTTATACATTGTTGGATTCAATTTGCTAATATTTTGTTGAGGATTTTTGAATCTTTGTTCATGAGAGATATTGGTCTGTAGTTCTTCTTTCTTGTAATCTGGTTTGTATATTGGGGTAATGCTGGCCTCATAGGAGTTAGGATTTATTTCCTCTACTTCTGTTTTCTGGAACAGATTGTGGAGAATTGGTATAATTTCTTTCTTAAATGTTTGATAGAATTCACCAGTAAAACTGTCTGGGTCTGGTGCTTTCTTTCTTGGAAGATTATAAATTGTTGGTTAATTTCTTTAATAGATACAGGTCTATTCAGATTATTTTTCCTTGTGTGAGTTTTGTGGATTTTTTTTTTCAAAGAACTGGTCCATTTTAACTAACTTATCAAATATATGGGTATAAAGTCGTTCATAATATTCCTTTATGATCCTTTTAATGTCCATGGATGGGATCAGTAGTGAGGGCCCCCTTTCATTTCTTTCCTTTTTTATTGATGTGTATTTGATTTACAATATTGTGTTAGTCTCACACAATATATTTTGTGTAGCAAAATCATTCAGTTATATATTTTTCAGATTATTTTCCACTATAGGTTATTACAAGATATTGAATATGGATCCTTGTGCTATACAGTAAATCCTTGTTGCTTACCTCCCCTTTCATTTCTTTATATAAATTATTTTATTTTTTTTTGGCTGCATTGGGTCTTTGTTGCTGCACGTGGGTATTTTATAAATGTCAATTAAATACAGTGAATACAATGAATGATGGTACTGTTCAATTAATTATGTCCTCATTGATTTTCTGTCTGCTGGATCTGTTGATTACTGATAGAGGTATATGGAAATCTCCAGCTATAATAGTGGACTTGTCTAGTTCTCCTTCCAGTTCTATCAGTTTTTCCACATGTATTTTGACACACTCTGTTGTTAGATGTATGCATATTAAGGATTGCTATGTCTTCTTGGAAAATCGACCCTCTTATCATCATGTAATGCCTGTCTTTATTCTTGATAATTTTCCTTACTCTGATGACTGCTTTGTCTGAGATTAATACAGCTACTCCAGCTTTCTTTTAGTGTTAGTGTGACATGTTCTTCTCCATCCCTTTTTTTAAAGAGTAGACTTATTTTTTTTGAACAGTTTAAGGTTCACAGCAAAATTGTACAGAAAGTACAGAGAGTTCTCATATACCCCTCTGCCTTAACTATTGACATCCCACATCTGAGTGATACATTGGTTGCAAGCAATAAAACTACACAGACACATCATTATCACCCAAAGTCCATAGTTTACATTAAGTGTTCACCTTTGGTGTTGTGCATTCTGTGGGTTTGGACAGTGTATAGGACATGTATCTACCACCATAATGGTATCATACAAAATAGTTTCACTGACCTAACAATCCTCTGCACTCTGCCTGTTCATCCCTCTCTCCTCCCAACCGCTGGCAATAACTGATATTTTTTTTACTATTTCCATAGTTTTTTGTTTTCCAGAATGTCATATAGTTGGAACCAGCCTTTACTTTTAATTTATGTGTCTTTATATTTAAGCTGAGTTTCTTGTAGACAACATATACTTGGGTTTTCTTTTTCATTCTGTCAGTTTCTTTTAATTGGTGTATTTGGAATATTTATATTTAAAGTGATTATTGGTATAGTGAATTAATATCTACCATATTCTTAACGATTTTGGTCTCCCGCTTTTTCTTCTGCCTTCTCCAGTTTTAATTGAGCATGTTTTTGGTATGATTCCATTTTCTCTCTCTTATATTATCTCTTAGCATTATCTAAGAATATCTTAGATAGTAAGATAATGTATCTCTTCCATTGTCTCTCTTAGCATGTCAACTGTACTGCTCTTCAAATTTTTTTTAGTGGTTGCCCTACAGTTTGAAATAAACATTTATAACTAAATACACTTTCAAATAATGTTATAATGCTGAAGGGTAGTGCAGGTGCCTGTTAACAAAGTATTCCCAATTCTTTCTTTCCAAGACATATAACATTGCTACTGTTTGTTTATTTCACTTATCATCCAATACATTGTTGCTGTTACTAGTTTGAACAAAAAGTTATCTTTCACTTTTGTGTGTGTGTGTGTGTGTGTGTGTGTGTGTGTGTGTGTGGCCTGTGGGATTTTAGTTCCCCGACCAGGGATTTTTTTTTTAATATGATTATGTTCTATTTTTTTATTTCTTATTTAGAGAATGTGATTTGTTCTTTTTTTAAATTTATTTATTTATTTATTTTGGCTGCACTGGGTCTTTGTTACTGCACTCGGGCTTCTCTAGTTGCAGTGCTTGAGCTCTAGAGCTCACGGGCTCAGTAGTTGTGGCACACGTGCTTATTGTGGTATGTGGGATCTTAGTTCCCCAACCAGGGATCAAACCCAGGCCCCCTGCATTTGGAGCAAAGAGTCCTAACCACTGGACTGCCAGAGAATTCCCAAAAAGTTATCTTTTAATTAAGAATAAGACAAATAAAAATTCTTACAGTATTTATTCTTTCTCTAGCACTTTCTTCATGCAGATCTAAGTTTCTGACCTGTATCATTTTCCTTCTCTCTGAAGAACTTCTTTTAACATTTCTTGCAAGGCAGTTCTGCTGGCAACACATTTCCTCGAGTGTCTTTTTGTTGTTTTTGTCTGAGAAAACCTTTATTTCTCTTTCATTTTTGAGATATAATTTCAGTGGATACAGAATTCTAGGTTGGTGGGTTTGTTTTTAACACCTTATATGTTTCACTTCAGTCAGTTTTTGCTTGAACGGTTTCTGAAGAGAGGTCTGTTGTAATCTTTATTCTGTCCCTTATTAGCTGAAGTGTATTTTTCCCTCTGCTTCTCTCAAGAGTTTCTGTTTGTCTTTGGTTTGCTGCAGTTTATGTTATGTGTAGGTAGGTGTGGATTTTTTGGTATTTATTTTACTTAGTGTTCTATGAGCAGCTGAGATCTGTGGTTTGGTATCTTTCATTAATTTTGAAAAAGTCTTAGCTATATTATTATTATTAAATTCTCTCTGCTTATATGATCCATCTGTTCTTGTGTGTTATCCTGATTTTTCCATTAGAGCCCTTAACATATTAATAATAGTTATTTAAAAATCCTGGCCTCATAATTCCAAAATTGCTGCCATGTCTGACTCTGGTTCTGATCCTGCTTCATCTCGAGACTGTTTCATTTTGGGTTTTTGTTTGATTTTGTTTTGTTTTGCCTTTTATTGTGTCTTGTAATTTTTGTTGAAACCTGGACATAATGTACTAAGTAATAGGAACTGGGGGTAAAAGGTCTTTAATGTGAGGTTTTGTTTACCTGGTAAGAATTAGGTCTTGTTTACTGTCTCCTGAAGCTGCAGGTGTTAGAGGCTTCCATTTCTTCTGGTGTCTTTGCTTTTCTCTCCCTGTTTTCCTTGAGTTTCCCTAGAAACTCCTTGTTAAATGGAGTCTGTGTCTTGCAGTTCTCTTAGTTGTGATCTAGTGTTCTTATTACACAGGGGCCCTGTTGATTTTGTGAGGTATTGGGGAGGAGAAGCACTCTCTAGTCTCATGATTGTCTCCTATGTTGTTGTTGGGCCAGAGTCCCTGGCCTATGACCTTCAAGAGAGTTTCTTAGTGCGTGTGGAGGGGGGCTAGGCTGGAGTTGGTTGATTGCCCTGCCCCCAGGTCACATCATACTCAGTAAAGTAGTTTTCCTTGGGGGAAGGCTTTTGTTAAGGAGAACAGGGCTCTGGGTGTGTTTCAGAGTGGTTGCTTTCCCCTTCCTCAGCCCAAAGCATATGGGAGGAGCACTCCATTCCTGATCTCCACCCATGACAACTGGTGGAGCTCCTGGAGATAAAACTAACGCAAGTGTGGGTGCCCTCCTCCCTCCCTGGTGGGGGCTCCAGGCGGTTTTATGTCTTCGCCTTGTCTCCAGTTGTCAGGGCAGCGGTTTCTCTGGTGGGTCTAAGAAGAGTTGTTGGTATACAAGTTTTCAGTTTTCCTCTTATTTTAAGAGGGAGAATGACGACTCCCAAGCCATTATCTTAAAGCAGAAACCAGAAGTCCTCTCCTACTTTTTTAATTTATTAACTTTTGGGGATGAGTATGGATTTCATTGATTATCATGAAACCAGTAGTCCTGTGGAAAAGCCACGGGTGTCTGTGTTTGTGCAGGTTGAAAGAGCAGAGCCTTGTGAAGGAGCTGCGGCCCCGGGATGTCCTGGAGAGCAGCAGTGACAGCGACGAGAAGGTCCCTGTGGCCAAGCCCTCCTCACTCTCCAAGCGGAAGCTGGAGCTCGAGGTGGAAACGGTGGAGAAGAAGAAGAAAGGGCGGCCTCGGAAGGACTCGCGGCTCATGCCCATGTCCCTGTCTGTGCAGGTGAGGCTGGTGGGCCGGTGCTGCCCCCGGCCCACCTCCTGAGCTCGGTGTGGGGGCCTGCATATGCCCTGGGGAAGAAGGGGGGCCCCACGTGCCTCATCAGTGTGGGGACAGCTGGCGTGGACACGTATACCTCCAGAACTGCCCCGACCCACCCAGAGTCCTTGAGCCCCTCCCTGGGGTCAGCTGCCTCGTCTCTGCAGTAGGGGTCTCTGTAGCGTTCATCTGCACTCACAGAGGGTGGAAACGCCCAGGTGGTAGACCCAGCCTCACCTCTGGTGACTCACCTTTACCTGGCACTGCCCTTCAGTGCCGGGCAGGGCTCAGGGACATCTCTGCTCTTGCAGTCGCCAGCTGCCCTGACCGCAGAGAAGGACGCCGTGTGTTTGTCTGTCCCAGCAGCTGCTCTGAAGCTGCCCATGCCGGGCCCCCAGAGAGCCTTCACCCTGCAGGTGAGCAGACCTCCGCCTCCCTCCCTCCCGAGCCTGCACATTCTTTTTGTCCGCCTGTCCACCCCCACCCCCTGGGGGCTGTAAACCCTGAATTGTCACAGACTTGGGGCCGCTTTCAAGTGGCTCTCCATCACCTTCTGGGGCAAGTTGTGGTTGAGCAGATCACAACTCTTAACGAGACGGCTGGCCTCTTCTCTGGGACCCCTCACTTCAGCCCCCACGCCTCTCCTCCATGGCTTTACCCTCCATCTTCTGGGTGCCCAGCTCCTTCAAGACCTGTCCCAGGTGTTCCCTCTCCTGGAAGCCTCCTCGATCTCCACTCTCGGCCATGGGCTCAGCCCATGGGACCATGTGGCACTGGTCTGTCTCTTGACCAGCCTGCTGGCCCATCCACTTCCCAGTGCCCAGCGTGGGGTCATCATCAGGGCCTTTCAAGGTCTCGAGTGGAATCTTCTAACTACAGATCTACAGCAAGTAGTCCTTTATTCCCAGAGGCCCTCTGGCCGCTCAGCCCAGCACCCATACCAGGCCTTGCACACACCGTTCATCTCCCACCCTCTGTACCTCAGCTCAGGTTCATGTCCTCGGGAAACCGTTTAGAACCCCACATGCAGGTGGGCTGCACGCTGCCCCAGCCCAGGCTGCCCCTCAGGGCTGCCAGGGGGCAGGTGGACAGGTCCTTCTGGGTCTAAGGGTGGGGCCCCCTGGTTCTTCTCGCACAAATCCCCCTCCCAAACTCAGCCATCCCCCCTCACCCCAGGGCCTTCCTTGCGGAGTGCTGTGTGGGGGCTGTTCTTGGTTTCTGGGGGCCCAGCCACAGCCGACCCTCCACCCCTGCTCACCCACTGTGTGGCCAGACAAGTACGAACCGCTCACCTAGGTCCCACGTGGGGTATCTGCCTGTCTGCTCCACAGACACAGAACACGAGGCTGAGCCCGTGTGGAGCTGGTGCTGAACTGCACACGTCTCCCCACGGTTTTCTGGGGACCCTCCTGTCAGTGACACTGGGCTCCAGTGTGCATGCCAAGGTGCACTGCCAAGGAGCTGGAGGGCCTAAGGACTTTCCAGACCTTTCCTCCAAGTGCCGACACAGCCTCTGTTCTGGCCAAACCTGACAGTCTTTGAAGATCCTTCAGTTAGGAGTCAGGAGACCCATGTCCCCCCGAGCGGGCTGGGGTCCTTCTGTGCCGTGTTTTCTTGGCCAGTTGCTTGCCTTCTCTGCATCCTCCCTTGTGAGAGGAGGTGGTGGGATCCGGAGGCTTCGAGGTCTTTAGCTGTGACACCAATTCTCTGCTCCACTGCACAGAGGACAAGGTGGACACCAGCTTCTGGGACTTGCCCTGCCCTGGGGACTGCACGTTGGGACCCCTGGCCCCCTGTCCTGCCCTGTGACCACCCCCACCCCCAGCCTGCTGTTGGCTGGCAGCTCTGTTCCACCCTTGCGTGTCCTTCCCCCTGTCCGTGGCCCACGTCTGAGGCCACTGCTGCTGAAAACGTTCTGTTTGCTTTTCTCCCCCAGGTGAGCTCCGACCCCTCCATGTACATCGAGGTGGAGAACGAGGTGACGGCCGTGGGGGGCATAAAGCTGAGTCGCCTGAAGTGCAGCCGGGAAGGGAAGGAGTGGGAGACAGTGCTCACCAGCCGGATCCTCACCGCTGCTGGCAGCTGGTAAGAGCAGGGGTCTCCACCCCACCGTCCTTTAACATAAAGCAAGACCCCGCACTGCGCTGTGGGACACTGGGCTGTCCTGGGAGGTGGCCTGTCTGAGGGAGGCCTATGCCTAGCCTCACTCAGGACTGAGCTGGTGCCTGAGTCATCCGAGTCCCTGGGGCACCCCATGAAGGTGGCACCATCACCCCCGTGTTACAGGAGAGGAAACTGAGTCCTGGAGGGTCACCTAAGCCCCCTGGGCATTTTAGTCAGATTCCTGAAGTCTCCATTTCCAGGCCGAGCTCTGCCTGCCTCTCTCTGACCTTGGCTGGCCTTTTCTCTGGACCCCAGGTTTTCATCCAAGGAAGTCAGCATGGATTTCTGCCTGTCCTCAGAGTCCCAAGGCCAGCCCTTTCCAGATCTGCCCTTTTGGGGGAGACCTGAATTCAGTGGTCAGTCACCCAGTGTCTTTCCACCACCCCTGGAGGTGGCCCCGCACATGCTCCATCTGGAAAGAGGACCCGGGGACATATGGCCCCAGTCGGGACTGTGTGTTCAGTACCCCTACGAGGGTCTTACAAAGCTTTCAGCCTAGATTTGGTCGTTTTCATTAGGCCCGGAATCCTTTATCATGAGGCTGCATGTGAAACACTCACAAATGTCTGTGACTCTGGCCCTGAGCGAGCCAGGTGCTGGGCCTGGACGGAACCACCATTCTGTTCCTCCCTCCGTCCCCTGGGGCTCCCCCTTCGTCCCTGGTCCCAAGGCAGCTGGCACGCCCCAGCTGGGGGCCAGGTGTGTCAGCACAGCCTCCCCATGTGACCTAGAGGCTGCTGGAGAGTCTGGCCAAGCAGCCAGCCAGGCCCCAGCCCAGCGTGCAGACCTGCCCCTGGCACCGCAGCTCCAGAGGTTCAGCATCCCTGGCAGCGGGCTGGCTGCAGGTGCGCCATGACCACAGGGATGAGCAGACAGAACACAGGGACCCACGGCCTCTTCCTTGGCTGACCTCGCTGTGAGCTGGCTGCCCGTGTGGACCGTAGGTGCCGGCTGGTAGCCCAGAAGTGATTTGGAGCAGGGCTCCAGTGGGCTGCTGGGCCGGACCTTGCTGTGCTGGCTGCACACCTGCTCCCACTGCCTGGGGTCTGAGGCTCTGGCCTCACTCTAGGCTTGCTCTCACCCCAGGAGACCCCACTAGGAAGGCAGAGCCTGCTTGTGCCAGGCAGAGCCAAGGGGCCTAGTGGGTGCTCAGAGGAGAGACATGAGACTGCGCCGATACACTCGTGGTGAAGCCTTCCTCACTCAGGGAGCGACATGTCTCTCCCACCCTGGTCTCGAAGGCCTTCTGAGCACAGCTGGGCGCCCCCTGTGGGAGATGCACCCTGTCGTCCCCACACTCCCCCCGGCCTGTCTGGGCAGAGGCCTCCCAGAGCCCCCCTGGCTGGTCTCAGCTACGAGTCTGTCGGGGGGGTGTTCTGCAGCTGCTCCCGAGCAGTGATGTCTGCTTCCTGGCTCACTGTCAGGGCCGCTGGTCCTTGGGCATGTGCTCCCTGGGGGCAGTTCCATGTGAGCCCAGAAAAGCCTGAGCCACCACATGGGGGAGAGGACTCCATCTCCAGGCAGAGGTCTCCAGTAGGTACCATCAGCTCTGCCACCCGGCCTGGCTCTGTCCCTGCATCTCGGGGCCACCAGAGCTCTCAGCCCCCCTGATGCCAGTCCCCTGCTCCCCCAGTGACGTGGTGTGTGTCGCCTGTGAAAAGCGGATGCTGTCCGTGTTCTCCACCTGTGGTCGACGCCTCCTCCCTCCCATCCTGCTGCCATCCCCGATCTCCACCCTGCACTGCACTGGCTCCTACGTCATGGCCCTTACCGCCACAGCCACGCTGTCCGTCTGGTGAGAGGCAGGGCGGGAGCGGCTATGCGGGTGTTCCTTGCTTCAGGGAGGGTCGCCCCTCCAACCCCCCCGCCCGGCACACAGGCCCTCAGGCCTGGCTGGAGGGTGAGCTGCTCCTCTCTCCCCCAGGGATGTGCACAGGCAGATAGTGGTGGTGAAGGAAGAGTCCCTACACTCCATCTTGGCAGGTGAGCCTGGCCGGGGGCCACCCCATGCCTGGGGTGGGGCTGGGGGCGGGCAGCTCAAGTCCAGGTCTGGCACAAAGGGCTCCGCTCAACCGAGATGGAGAGCAGGCTCTGGGGTCCCTTCTGCGTGGCTAGAGCTGCGGGAGCCATGGCACCCGCTGACGGGAATACGCTGGAACCCCTTCTTGGTGTCTCCCTAGGAAGTGACATGACAGTGTCACAGATCTTGCTGACACAGCATGGAATCCCCGTGATGAACCTGTCGGACGGGAAGGCCTACTGCTTCAACCCATCACTGTCTGCGTGGTAAGCACACCACCCTGAGCCCTGCCCCATGGAGGGTCCATCTGAGCCAGAACCCAGCACAGCCAGCAAGGGCCCCGCCTGGCCCGCTTCTCCTGGGAGTCTGGCCAGAGTGGAGGCCACAGTGCAGCCCCAATCCCTGCCGGCCCCCTGCCTCTCTGCCCTCAGACCCGTGCACAGGGACGCTGTCCTTCCCCTCCACTGTTCCCCGGGGGTCACTTTGTCTGGAGCAGACATTTGAACTTTTATGGTTGTTGATGAGTAGTTCCAGCCTGGCCTCCGTAGGTACCGTCAGCTTCACGGCAGCCTCATCCAGCCCTGCTGTTTTTGTAGCTTAGTCGGAGCCAAGGGACACTTCCAACTGGCTTGGTGCATTAGTGGGGCTGCACTGTCACTCACCACGTGTGAGGTCTGTACCTTTGCTCTGTCCATTTTGGAGTCCTTTTCTATATTTGTAAAACCTCTTTTTTTTCCTGCCATGCTGCATGTCTCGCAGATCTTAGTTCCCCAACTAGGGATTGAACCTGGGCCCCCTGCATAGGAAGCATGGAGTCCTAAGCAGGGAAGTACCTGTAAAACTTCTTTGTACATCAGAGATCTTAACCCAGAGTTAGGAAGGGTGTACCTCGTGTACCAGCCGATCAGAAGTTTTCTCTTGCCTGCTCCTTGCTCCTTCAGGCCCAAGTGTGCCACCATCCAGCCTGTCTCTGTTAAGGGTTGCCGGACACAAGTTTATCCTCAGACTGAGATCTCTTTCTTGAGTTTAAAAAAAAAAAAAAAAAAGCAACCCTCAAAATCCCCACTCCCTGCTCCTCCAAATTGCAAAATATCGTGTATTGTATGTGATTAGTACAATAATGGAAACAAGCTGGTTATTTGAGAAGGGAAATGTGGACTCTGTAGGCACCAGGCTGTTTTTAAATTGTGTGAAGGGTCCAGAGAATGTGAAGCGCTGATGCCTGGGATGCTGTGTGAGCTCTGGAAGGCTGGACAGCGGGACTTCTCAGCTGCTTCCGAGGGCCGCAGCACATGGGCTCCCAGACAGACTAGCATCCCAGGCATACTCGCCCCCTGCCCCCGGACCTAAGACCCAGGGCCAGAGTGTCCGAGTAAGGAGGCCCCACATGGGCATACAGGGACCTTGGCTCCCTCAGTGCCCCTCGCCGCCTGCCTCTGCTGGGCCTCCTGGTTTCCCTGAGTTCTGCTCCTGCCTTTGCCTCCCCAGGAACCTGGTTTCTGACAAGCAGGACTCCCTGGCCCAGTGTGCAGACTTCAGAAGCAGCCTGCCACCCCAGGACGCCATGCTGTGCTCGGGACCCTTAGCCATAGTCCAGGGCCGCGCCTCCACGTAGGTGACCCAGGTGCAGGGGAGGCATCCGGCTGGCTGTGTGGACGTGGTCCCTCCGAGGCCTGCCTTCTGACTGCCTGAGCCCAGCGGCACTCACAGGGCTGGGCTGGGGCTGCCGAGGGCTGGGAGCCACAGTGAGCACTGTCTCAGGGTGCAGGGTCACAGCTCTGTCACTTCAAGACCTGGGCGGCAGTCTGAGGGGCTGCGGGTCATAGATCCCCATGTTGGGCTGCACTTTGGGTGGGGGCCTGGGCTGCTGGCCTATCCCCTCAGGGGCTGGATGGGAGGTGCAGAACAGCAGGACCTGGGGGCGGTTGGGCCGCTGTGGAGTCTGATACCTGCCCCCTCCCCACCCCAGCAGCTCGGGGAGGCAGGCAGCCCGGCTTTTCTCCGTGCCTCACATGGTGCAGCAGGAGACCACCCTGGCCTACCTGGAGAGCCAGGTCGCCGCAGCGCTCACCCTGCGCTCCAGCCACGAGTACCGCCACTGGCTCCTCCTCTACGTGCGATACCTCGTGAACGAAGGTGAGCTTCCCGGTGGTCCTTCTGTCCTCCCGGGCCCCTCTCAGTCCCTGTCCCAACGGGACCCTCCCGAGGGCCCGAGTGTCAGGGCCCAGGTGCAGCAGCCTGGGCTCTGTCCTCCCTCCCGGCTTCCCATGGTCGCCCCCTGGGGCCCTGCCCTCCTGCTCCCAAGTCAGTGAGGTGGGCAGCTCAGCAGGTGTCCCGCCCCACCACGGGCTGAACCGAGCAGCCCCTGAGGCCACAAGGATTGGCGGCAGGAGGATGTGGGGGCAGAGTACTCACAGACACAAGCTCAGCTCCCCCTGACCTCGTTGCCCCCTCAGAGCATTGGTGGGCCTGTACCTCTCTTTCTCCTGCCTGGAAGGACCAGCTTGCTGTCCAGCACCTCCCCTCGGCCCTCCAGCCCAGCTTTCCCCACCAGGGCTCTTATACCCATGTCCCCGTCCCAGGATCCCCCCTCCTCGCCCCACCCCGCTCCTTCTGTGGGTCAGCAGACAGCAGGGTGTTGGAAGACGTGACCTCCCACAGCCTCTTGACTCCCTGTGAGGCAGGCGTGGGCTCTGGCCTTGCCAGCTTCCCTCCGCTTGAGCTTGTCCTCCAGGGCCGTGGCCTGGGGATGGCCCTCCCCAGTTCTCCCTGTGTCACCACACAGCCTGGGCCTGGTCACGGAGCCGGCACCCCCACACCCTCTCCTGCCTTTCTTGCTTTGCTTTCAACTCCTCCCCTGTTTTGTTCATGATTTAGAGAAAACAAATTAAGTACGGAAAAGACAGAGAAAAACTTGCCCGACCTCTATGGGTATAACTCGCAGAATTCGCCCGTCACGTTGCCAGACCCCTCCCCCACAGACCCCAGGGATGAGTTCAGTATGGACTCATCCCACCCAAACTTAAACACTCGGTGTTCCTGCAACCTTGCGCCTCTGCCGGGCACTCAGGTCACGTGTGGCCTCACCCCCTTACCCCCGGAAAGCCTGCCTCCGGCTCCTCTCTGGTTTCCTCCATCCTGGGTTTCAGTTCACTGGGGCTGCCCCTATAGGGGACACCTCACTTCCACTGCTTGCTTCCCTTTCTCCATCTTCACGCGCGTATGGCCCAGGGCCCACACACAACTCCCCTACCCTCTGTCCCTCCTTCCTCCCCGGGGGGAGGTGGACTCGAGCTTCACAGGGACAACAGCTCTCCTCTAAGCATCCTCAGGTTCCACCCTCATCACTGGCTGATTTCTTCTATTCCCTGTGGCCTCGGCTGCCCCCGATTCTGCCTCCAGCGTGGCTGGCGCTCCCCCCAGCTGTGCCGTAGCCCCAGCTCCTCCTCCGTCTCCTCCACCCAAATTCATTCCCACGGCAATCTTCTCTAGAAGGACACCACCTGACCCTGTGCGTCTGCCCCCACCTTTTCTCGCCAGTAGGCCCCCTCAGCCCACTCCCCTCCTCCCACAGCCCCCACATTCTCCACCCCCTTGGGGGGGGTCTGTCCCAGAGCTTCCACGTCTCGTCTTCTCTGGCCCAGCACACAGCGGCCACTGTGTGTGTTTCCCGGGATTGGGGGTGGTGAGTCAGAGCCTCTCGCTATGGCCTCTGAGCGCTGAACTGAGACAAGGAGGCAACAAAGTGAGTGTCTGTTCTTTCTGCTTTGATGTACACAACAACTTAGCCTGTTCTTGACTCTATTTCTTTTTGTAATGTGTTCCTATTTCTGTTTTGTTTTGTTTTTTGTTTTCTATAATAAGGGTTTGAATACCGACTCCGAGAAATATGCAAGGACTTACTGGGGCCTGTTCACTCCTCCACTGGAAGCCAATGGGAGTCAACAGTAGTGGTAAGTGCCACTTTCCTTTTTGGCCCAAGAAATCTCTCCTGAAAAGTAAAGGTGGAAATTGAAAAGTAAGCCAAAGTGCTTTGAAATTCTTTCCTGTTACACTCTTCCAGCACACTGCCGGCATCAGAGAGAGCGCGAGTTGCCAGCCCACCCACCCTGGCAGGAGCCCTTGGCATCAGGGGCTGAGAGAGCATCCACTCAGCCACGTGCCTGTGCTGGGAAGGCTGCCTGCCGGGGGCTGTGGATTTGTTAGTAGTGAGGCTCATAGTCCGGTCAGGAGGCAGACATGAGCGAGTAAGCAGTTCAGTCAACAGAGCAATGACGGGTGTGCCTGGGAGAATGCGGCGGGGAGACCTCGGAAGAGGACTTTCAGAATGAAACCCCAGGACAGGAATGAGCCTGCTCCGTGGAGACCGGGGAATGTGCTGGTAGAGGTGACAGAAGTGCAGAGGGCTTGGCCCATGGAGGCCGCTGTGGTTGGAACATCGTTGGCAGAGGAGAGGGTGTGACGTGAGTCCAGAGAGGGCAGGAGGTGGATCCCTGGGACCTTGTGAGGAGCTGGGGTTTAGTTTAGGGCAGCGGGAGCCGGCAGAGGAGTTGGCGCTGATGTAGCAGAGCAATCAGGACAAGGCAGACCTGGCAGTAGCTGAAGACAACTTGGATCCATGTGGCAGCCACAGAGAAGGGAGAGGAAGCAGATTCAAGATGTATTTAGCAAGCTGCTATTATCTTTATGACCAGGAGTCCCTGCCTCCCCTCCCATTGCGGTCATGTCTGCAGCAGTGTAATGGGGCAGGAAAGCTGTATAGTTTCTAAATGCCACAGCTGTCACCTTTAATCTTTCTAATCTCACCCTGAAACAAAACCTATAAAACTTAAACTAGGCCATATGCCCAGTACCCTCTGGGAATGTGAACTGATGAAAGGGGAAAGAGAATAATGAACATAATGAAATTGCACAGATAAGACTGTGGCGCACACAAGTGGGTAGAGTGCATTGATCGACTTGGGCAAGGAACAGGTTGACGGGGAACTGGGGGCACGGTTCGCTCCACTGCTTCACTCAGCCGTTGGGCAGCTGCCGGTGGAGCCCCACTCTGGCCAGGTGTAGCTCGGCAGCCAGCTGCAGCGAGCAAGGCTCAGGGGCCCAGCCTTCATGGGGACAGAGGCAGATTGGAGACAAATGAGCAAGTACATGTAATGTGTTGACGGGGATGGGGTCCTGTGAACACCAATGAAGAGGGCAGGGGTGCGGAGTGCTGATGGGGTGCTGTTTTACATCCAGTGATCGAGGAAGCACTGACTGATTGACAGAGATCAGAGGAGGTAAGGGAGGAAGCCCCGCAGATATCTGGGGGAAGAACATCCAGGCAGAGGGAACAGTGAGGACAAAGGCCCTGAGGTATGAGGGCTCGAGTGTAAAAGGAGCAGCTGAGCAGAGGTGATGGGAGGGTAGAAGAGGTGAAAGATTGGAGGGTCAGTCCTGGAAGGACTCTGGAGGTCTTGGTGTGTACTTGGCCTCCATTTTTTATTTTGTTGCTGTAGATGTTAATTTAGTTGGTTACTAGAATCCTAAGTTCAAAATCAATTCTCTACAGTTTTGAAGGTATTGTGCCGCAGACTTTTAGCATTTGCTGCTGTTGCTAAAACTGCCGCCAGTCCGATTTCCATTGCTTTGTAAGTTCTTTCGGGATCCTGCCTTGGTGCTTTCAAGTCTCACAAAGCTCTCGGTCTATGTCTTTCATTCATTCTGTGGACTTTACTTAGAGGCTGTCTTTGGTTATAGCTTCCCTTTCATTTCCCTCATCATCAGAGAGATAGCATGTCCTCCCTTCTTAAAATCTGCTCCATCATTTTTTATAGTTCTAATTCTCCTTGAAATATTCATTTTAGTCTTTTGAGCACAGTAAGCTTAGTTATTTTAAAGTTGCATGTCTGATAGTCCTAATATCAGGAGCCCTTGTGGGTCTGTCTGTATTGCTTATAAATGTTTCTGCTGGTTCTCGTTCATGTAATCTTATCTCCTCAAGTGCCTGGTTATTTTCAGCTGTCTGCTGGACATGGTATTTGAAAAATTGCTTGTAGAAATAGCTTGAGCCTCAGGTTATGTGGCTTTTGCGCAGAGCATTTTGTTTGCTTTGGTGCCAGCTCTTAAGGCACCCGCTCTGCAGGGTCTCAACCCGGTCGGGATGGAGGTTTTCCGTGCTGCCTGGGGACTTTTCAGAGCTGGGCACTGGCTGGTGCAGGGGGGCTGGTTTCCTTCCAGTTTACCCTTATTCTAGGGTCGGGTCATCCCTTGGGGATACCAGCACAAAGATGAGGTGGTTTACCAGGGACCCCCACTTTTCATGGGCCTTAGGCCCCTGCTTTGGTCCCCCAGGCTCTCAACTCTGACAGAAGCCCACTCAGCCTCTTCCTCATCAGTACATGTTCCCAAGGCCAAGGTGTCCCTCTGGATTCCTGCCTTCCCCCACCCCAGTTCAGTCCTTCACCCCAGCACATTAGCTCTTGGAGTTCTGCTTCTGCTTAACCAGCTTTGTCCCCTGTCCTCAACAGGAAGGGTGTTCGGAATTACCTGCAGTAGTCGAGCTGTTTCCCAGCACACCTCACCTCTGGGGAAGCCTGACAGGCCATCTGCTTGAGGGGTGGGGGAGCACGTGTCTGACAAAGCCCTACCCTTGGCCGGGTTGTGGGGCCTCACTCTGTGCCCAGCTGCCACTCTGGGGGCCTGAGCCCAAGACGTTAGCCAGAGCTCTACATAGAGGTTCTCTGTCTCAGCCTGAAGGTGGGCACTCTAGGCCAAGGTGGGGTGGGGAGCACAGGCAGGCCACCGGTTACCAGCCATGCACCCTCCTCTCCCCCTCCTTCCTGCTGTTCTTGCTGACCCCAAGCTTTGTCCAGGAGAGCCTGTGGCTCCCTTCCCAGGAGCACCATCAGTGCAATGCTACCTGCTTTTTACCTCTGCCAACTGCCTAAAACCACTGGTCTGCTCGGGGTCCCAGTATCCATGACAAATGCTTTCAACTGCAGGTAAATGATACCCTGTCTAGTGGTGGCTGAAGTAGTTTTATTCTGTCCTCCAAGACAAGTCCTTTGGAGTTAAGTGGAGGTCTGTATCTCTGTGATTCTGTTGGCCTCTCCCTCATGTCATAAGATGGCTTTCGTGTCCAATTGAAGGAAGGAAGACAGAAGGAAGCCAGTACCAGTAGCATCCACCCTCTTAAAAGGAAAGCCAGCCCATGCCTCATAGCAGCCAGCAGACCACTTGGGCACCCCCACTGGGAGGGAGGCCAGGAAGGCAAGCTGTGAAGAGTATGGCGGGGAAGTCTTGGAGCAGGTCTGGACAGAGCCAACTCCTGCTGTCTGCCACATCCCCTTCTGGCCTCAGTGCTCTTCTGAATTTATGCCTTTTTTTTTTTAAATACATCTTTATTGGAGTATAATTGCTTCACAATACTGTGTTAGTTTGTGTTGTACAACAAAGTGAATCAGCTATATGTGTACATATATCCCCATATCCCCTCCCTCTTGAGCCTCCCTCCCACCCTCCTGATCCCATCCCTCTAGGTGGTCACAAAGCACCAAACTGATCTCCCTGTGCTATGCCGCTGCTTCCCACTAGCTATCTGTTTTACATTTGGTAGTGTATATATGTCGATGCTAGTCTCACTTCGCCCCAGCTTCCCCTCCCCGCCCTGTGTCCTCAAGTCCATTCTCTATGTCTGCATCTTTATTCCTGCCCTGTCACTACATTCATCGGTACCATTTTTTTTTTTTTTTAGATTCCATATATATGCGTTAACGTACGGTATTTGTTTTTCTCTTTCTGACTTACTTCACTCTGTAGGACAGGCTCTAGGTCCATCCACCTCACTACAAATAACTCAATTTCATTTCTTTTTATGGCTGAGTAATATTCCGTTGTATATATGTACCACATCTTCTTTATCCATTCATCTGTCAGTGGGCATTTAGGTTGCTTCCATGTCCTGGCTATTGTAAATAGTGCTGCAATGAACATTGTGGTACATGTCTCTTTTTGAATTATGGTTTTCTCAGGGTATATGCCCAGTAGTGGGATTGCTGGGTCATATGGAAGTTCTATGTTTAGTTTTTTAAGGAACCTCCATACTGTTCTCCATAGTAGCTGTATCAATTTACATTCCCACCAATGGTGCAGGAGGGTTCCCTTTTCACCATACCCTTTCCAGCATTTATTTTTTCTAGATTTTTTGATAATGGCCATTCTGACTGGCATGAGGTGATACCTCATTGTAGTTTTGATTTGCATTTCACTAATAATTGAGTGATGTTGAGCATCTTTTCATGTGCCTCTTGGCCATCTGTATGTCTTCTTTGGTGAAATGTCTATTTAGGTCTTCCGTCCTTTTTTTTTTTTAATTTATTTTATTTTTGGCTGCATTGGGTCTTCATTGCTGCACACAGGCTTTCTGTAGTTGCGGTCATCAGGGGCTACTCTTTGTTGCAGTGTGCAGTCTTCTCAGTGTAGTGACTTCTCTCATTGCAGAGCACAGGCTGTAGGCACGTGGGCTTCAGTAATTGTAGCACATAGGCTCAGTAGTTGTGGCACACAGGCTTAGTTGCTCCACAGCATGTGGAATCTTCCCAGACCAGGGCTCGAACCCCTGTCCCCTGCATTGGCAGGCGGATCCTTAACCACTGTGCCACCAGGGAAGCCCTTCCACCCATTTTTTAATTGGGTTGTTTGTTTTTTTGATATTGAGCTCCTTACTGTCTCTTCTTCTTGATATGGGGAGCAGAGGGGGTGAATTGAGTATGAGCCCTCTGCCTTCTTGTTGAGTTTCGTTGTGAACACTCTCATGGTGAGAATTGGCCATTCAAATGAAACTGGTCCTCAGGATGGCTGGGAAATGGAGCTGGGGATGGAGCGTGCTGCCAACGAGCAATGCTGACTCTAGATTTAAGAGCCACTTGTATTTCCTGTTGAAATATGTTGGTGTCATTTGTTTTTCGTTTTG